ATTGGGGTGGTGGTCAAGGGAGTGGTGGCCACCAGGATGGAGTCAGTGGCCACCTAGATGGGGTCAGTGGCCACCAGGATGGAGTTGGTGGCCACCGGGATTGGGGTGGTGGTCAGGGGGTTGGTGGCCACCAGGATGGGGTCAGTGGTCAAGGGGGCTGTGGGTGTCAGGTTGGTGGTCAAGGGGGTGATGGCCACCTGGATGGGGTTAGTGGCCACCAGGATGGAATTGGTGGCCACCGGGATTGGGGTGGTGGTCAGGGGGTTGGTGGCCACCAGGATGGAGTCAGTGGTCAAGGAGGCTGTGGGTGCAGGAGTGGTGGTCAAGGGGGTAGTAACCACCTGGGTGGGGTCAGTAGCCACCTGGATGGAATTGGTGGTCAAGGGGGTGGTGGCCACCTGGATGGGGTCAGTGGCCACCAGGCTGGCGTCAGTGGTCAAGGGGGCTGTGGGTGCAGGGCTGGTGGTCAAGGGGTCAGTGGTCACAGTGACACCCTTGGTGGCCATAATGACCATCCAGGTAGTCACAATGACCCCTGTGATAGCCACAATGACCCCTGTGGTGGCCGCAGTGACCCCTGGGGTGGCCATAATGACTCCCCGACCCCACCCAGTGGTAGCCACAATGATTCCTGTGGTAGCCACAATGATTCCTGTGGTAGCCACACTGCTCCCTGTGGTAGCCACGGTGATTCCTGTGGTAGCCACACTGCCCCCGTTGGTAGCCACGGTGATTCTTGTGGTAGCCACACTGCTCCCTGTGGTGGCCACGGTGATTCCTGGGGTAGCCACACTGCCCCCGTTGGTAGCCACAATGATTCCTGTGGTAGCCACACTGCCCCTGTTGGTAGCCACAATGATTCCTGTGGTGGCCACAACGATTCCTGTGGTAGCCACACTGCCCCCGTTGGTAGCCACGGTGATTCCTGTGGTAGCCACACTGCTCCCTGTGGTGGCCACGGTGATTCCTGGGGTAGCCACAATGATTCCTGTGGTAGCCACACTGCCCCCGTTGGTAGCCATGGTGATTCCTGTGGTAGCCACACTGCCCCCGTTGGTAGCCACAATGATTCCTGTGGTAGCCACAATGATTCCTGTGGTGGCCACAATGATTCCTGTGGTAGCCACACTGCCCCCGTTGGTAGCCACGGTGGCCCGCGGGCTCGGCCGGTGCGGGTGGAGCTGCAGGGCCGCGCCGGACGCTCGGAGCGACGGCGACTGCGCGGCTTCGGCCACGGCCGGAGGGACATCGGGGACATCTGGGACTTCTGAGGGGGGAAAATGGGGAAAATGGGAAAAAATGGGAAAAATGGGACATCGGGGACATCTGGGACTTCTGAGGGGG